TTCTGTCGTTGGCAACTGTCAAAACCTGCGATAGTGAGGTTCGTAAGAGAATGCCAACAAATATAAAAGAAAAATACGAATTAAAGTAAACAAGAAAAGGGAATAAAACTTTATTTTATTATAACCGGTCGACTCACTTGTAAATTCCAGTTTCGCTTTTACAACTGTCTCTTGCTGTGGCATTCAATTGCGTGGCGGTCAAATTTCTATCGGTTGGCAATTGTGAAATTTCGTGGACGTACAATTGAAGTGGAGAATTTTTGCGGTTAATCTGCACTGGAGCCTTTCATTTACTGACTTCAACCTCTTACAATCAGCTGGCTGTTACCACCACTCTTCATTCGCATTTTTTTAAATTTTGGCACCTATCCTCAAATGTACAGTTGTATAGACCGTCCTTGGAGACAATCTAGTCTAAGCTGATCAATTTTTATTCCCCCAAAGCTAATCTGGGGAGGGGTTTTTTGGTTTTTTTTATTTTTTTTTTCCCGAAAACCCGCCGACAGTGAAGGCAGAGGAAGAACCTCTGAAAAATACATTTTATTTTAAAACGTGGGTATAAACTTTTACAGGGCGCGGCAGTTGGCTTAGCAGGCAGGCAAAGACGCTACGATTCAAGGAAATTCGACTTGGCGTTTGTATTGACATTTGTAGACCTCACTCCAAATTTCAAGTTGATATCTTCCTATTTTTAAAATGGAACTTCGATATGTTGTTTACCCTTTTCAAAATAATGTCGCTTATTTTTGATTTGAGAAGTACCTGTTTATGCATTTTTCAGTTGTTTTGGCAGTGACACGATTGAAAACTTTTGTTTTTGGTCAAGCGCACTACCACGCTATGTTACGCAAACTAGTTTGAAATAGGAGCTTTTTGCTCTGAAAACTGTATATGTGCTGACGCTTACCAAGATATTGCTTCCGTAAAATGGTTACGCGAGTGAGAGTAATTATACTGTGACAGTGAAGGCAAACAAAATTGTTGAATGACTGTAAAGGCAAGAATTCCTTGAAGGATGATGGCACGCCAAATTCCAAACTCGCCATGAACTTCAAACTTGAACGGCATGAACGGTTAGAACAATTATCCAGAGAGGGCTTCATTCACCATCTCAAAGAAAATTAACAAATTTCTTTCTAGGGCTTAGTGTGATCACGAGAATCCGCAAAAGAAAGTGGTAGCCAATATATCAGAAAAAATTTGAAAACGAACAATGTTTGTAATAGCATATTGCCGTCAAGTGCCTATGAATGTCATACAAACATGTGCTAAAGAGTGTCTTTGAGTCTATTTTTCCATTAATGTTATATTTATTGTTACCATTTATATCAGAAATTGAGATAGAAATATTAAAGGACTTACCAAATTTTCCGCAACAAATGTGGTTTTATTTATTGCTTATTATCATATCCCTGTGACCAAAAAAGTAGTTTATCTATTCAGTTAATATATTAAATATGAATTTTATCTAAATGAATTGATTAAATTAATCATTTAGATTAATTAATAAATTATTAATGTTATCTTATTATTTTTTTAAATGTGATACAATTGAATAGTTTAAAATTTGTAACAAATTTTCATTTTAAAAAACGAAAAATGGCTGGGCCAATGAACTGGTTTACGCGTAACAAAACGCACTACGTTTCAGTTCAGGGTAATTTCCCGAAGAGGGCGTGGCTTCAGCACACTAAAGACATTTAAATAAGAATTAAGCGAGATTTACAGCGTTCTAGAAGAAAATGTTGATATATATGAAAAGAGCAAAATTTGAACCCACTTTATTGTGCTGAAAAATAAAAATCGATTCATTTGCACCATTTCATGCTACCTTCTCCCTTAACAAGATTCTAACCGCTAGTTGTGTTGACAACATAATTGTTACGTCAGGAAAGAAAATCGTTGCGGTGGCTGCTTTGTTGGTTCTGCAGGTGGCTGCGCATATTTCAACTCCAATGCCTCTCCCCAGATTGAAATAGCTATTTTTTAGTTTTAAATAGGGAGATAAAATAACATCATTCACCTTACCGTATTTTAAACGAGAATAACCGTGCTTCTAAATAGAGAATTATCCAGGCCTACAGAAATTGCGTCATTCATTCTTTCCCGATTTTTATTAACTTAATTGAAGTGTTGAATGGCGTTTGGGAAGGCGCATTAAACTTTTATCGGAAGGTGGAGGAGCCTTTTTATCATGAGGCAATTTTTTTACTGTACCCCCCACCCATTATGCATCTGTTCTATGAAAACAAGCGAACTCCAACAGTTCAAATGAAGTGAAAAGCCGAGTGCCGAAAAACGTTCGGTCGCCATTCTGCGAGACTTCCTCAGGGCGTAAACGTCGGCACTTTCGCATGGGACGCGGCGTCACCGCGGACAGCCTAGTAATTTACACTGTATTCGTCATGCGCTATATTGCGTGCACTCGATCCCTCGGCTTTTTCACGTTCATTTGAACTGTGGAGGTTCGCCTTAGTTTCAATGAAACAGTGCATCAATGGGTGGGGTTACGTGAAAAAATTGGTCATGTAAAAACCGGCTCCTCACTCGCAATAAGTTTAATTGCGCTTCCACGTCATTCAACACTTTAATTAATATCACGGTGCATTACCCTTTATTATCACAATATTAAAATAAGAACATTTTTGCAACCAGGTAAATTTTATTATGGTATCTTCAAATACCTACCATGATTATGTGTACTTCTTTTGGCATGTAATGAAGACAGAAACCTGCATGGCAGTGGCGGAATGTACAACGTGGCGGGTTTTGTTTGGTTCCTCCACCGCCTGAAAATGCTCTTACTATGGAAAGGGGGTGAGTATGTGCCATTGAGGCAATACCTTGTTTATTTGTGTGTTTGTTCTTCTTGTATAAAAATACTTCATCAAAATAACAAAAAACACTTTCACTGGTATAATATAGGAATAAAGAAGCAAGTTATTGTTACGACGACTAGGAGAACATTCGCGTTTAGAAAAATTGTATCGATACTTCTAGGCCTATGAGGGAAGGGTTGTTGCAAACTAAATAATCAAGGTAATGGCCATTAATACTCTTAAAATATATTCAGAACATTCGAAACACAATTACTGGTGAATTTATAGTCTTTTCAAATATCGTTGAATTATCGGTGCGTTTACTCAGTTTGGGAAAATACAATATAAAACCGCATTTGGATTCGGGGCAGTAAAATGTTTACAAGTATTTTCGTTTAAAACGAATTTATTATGTTGAAAGCATTACGAAATTATTTTTGAATCCTATTTATAAGTTTAATGTGCGTTTCGGATTTGAAGTATAATTGTGTAATGGAATAATTCCTACGTTCCATTTCATAAATAGCATAATTATATTAGATAATTAACTGATCAGCGGTTTTGGCTTTTCAAATATTGGAAAAATACCGGGAAATTGAAAAGAAAACAGTTTATATAAATGTTGATGTTCAGTTCTAGCAATTCTATTTCATTTTAGTCGCATGAAACATAAACCAGCAATTTTTAAACTCTCCAACATTTTTGGCTTAATTTAAGTAGCCTCTAAATTTACACGCGTGAAAATACACACAATCCAAAACATTTGAG